ATTAAATGAAATATCAATCATTGTCTTCTTAATTCCTATTCTTTTATTGTTCTCTCTCCTTGATAATATTTCTCTTTTTTTTTCACACTCAGTAACCTCTTGTATCTTAGTGGCTTTATTGCCTTGCTTGTGGTGAATTTATGAGTGTTTGATACCTAAGATCATATTGTATCTTTTTATATATTAAAAAGATCTGTTTCAATATTATGCTATTTTAAATGAAATTAATTGTACTATATAAATAATTTTCTGCTTCACTATACATACATTTATACATATATATGAATTGGAATCAAATATGGATTAGAATCTAACAGAATGATAGGATAAGAAAAAAATAATAAATGTTTATAAATTTAACGTTTTGTTTTTATTTAAGCTTCATCAGTAAATGAAATATGGAGGAGAAAAGAAAATTCTGGTATTTTTTAATTTTTGTGTTTGTTTTTCATTGGTTAAGTAGACCTCATGTGTATTTTCCTGTCAAGCAACATTTGTGTGTATAATTCTTGTATTTGTGTGTATAATTCTTGTATTTGTATGTATAATTCTTGTATTTGTGTATCACAATTCTAGTTGGTCTATGCAGAATTTGGTTGATAATATATATATATATATGTGTGTGTGTGTATTTGTGTGTCTAGTGAGCATTTTTATTTGTGTCTGGTGGTGTTCATATGTTTATTGGGGTATGTTTTGTGTGAGACTGAAAGAAATGAGGTTGCTTTAGTTGTAGTAGCAAGTAGACAGATCTTAGATTCTTTAAGTATGCATTTTATAAAACTTAGTGATATAATAATTTTTGTTTGACATGTGTTTATTGATGGGAAAATATTTATCAGGATTCCTCCTCAGTATTTTCTACATAATAAATTATGTTCTTTTCTAATTAGAGTGGCATTTATTAAAGTTATGACCTATTTATTTCTGAGTGTTATGAGCAAGTTTAAAGGGTTGTCCCAAAGAAAGTTTCTCTCATGTTAATAAATGTAAGCTTTTAGATTTCTAGATGATTGGGCTATGTAGCTTTTCTGGCATTGCAGGCCATATTTTATATCATAAATCCTGGTATGTGATGTTGTGTTGGATCTATTTTTTTTTTTGCTAACTATATCTCTGATCATTTTGGAGGTGGTAGTAATAACCTTAGTGCTGGGGATAACTAGTTTGTTCTCAAATTTTCTTTGTAGGGTAGAAATGTGTGTGTGTGTGTGTGTGTGTGTGTGTGTTACATTCTTTTCATATTAAGCAGAAGTGCAAGGAATTGATACAAATACTGATCCTAGACAGAAGTGTCAATCCTTATATGAATAATCACATCACTGTTTATGTGTATGTGCCGAATAAAGAAAACAGCAACTAGCGAGTAAATTTAAGCTCTCCCAACTGGTATTCCAACCTTGAGTCATTCCTTCTTGAGTTCTGTCTCAAAATCGCACTTTTCTAGCCGCCAACTGTGATCGTCACTCAAAGAACGGTCCCCACTGGGAAAAAGTAGTTGCTTTTATATTTGTCCATACACCCATAATCCCTTACGTCTTCATGTGATCCCATAATTCATTGCGTCTCTGTCCCATAATGCATTGCATCTTTATTGCATAAAAATGCAATGCAAGTCCCCCCTCATTCTTTTACGTTATCTGGCTGAGGACGGATTACGGCAGGGCGGTAAGTGCTTTTTTCTCCCTCATTTCAACTGCAGTAGCTTTACATGCTAAGCAAATACGGGCTCTTTTTTGATGGGGACAAGGCAAGTCACAACCAGTTGTGCTTGTCCCAGGTTCTGTCTCATTTCTGCCACAGTGTACTATGCTTATATGTATGTGTGTGTATATATATATATATATATATATATATATATATATATATATATATATATATTTATTCAAATTTCTAAAGAAAATGTCTGTATTAGTGTTCATAACAAAGTTTCTATTAAATGAAGATCCTGAGATCAAACATAGTTTCCAGACTGAAATATTGTATAATATATCTAATATGAATGGATTTCAGAACTAGTGAAACTTTGTCCTAACTTCTATTTGCCAAGTTATGATCATTTAAAGTTAATCAAAACTTTCACATATTTAATCCTTTGTTTTTTGAGGATCAGTTCTGGATAGTTGCTTCTTCTGCCTCTTTTTGCTAGAAAAGCCTTTGAAATCTTGTTGAAATAAATGCTTTAAGTAACAGACAGGTTTATCTTGACACTATGTTTCAAAAATGACTTATATCAAGTGGATTTGTTGACTCTACAATAAAAAATTCAATCAATACTATTTTTTGCCATATTTTGCATGTTTTTTTTTTGTTTTCTTTCTGAACCCCCTCCCTGCACAAATTCAAATAATGCTAATAAAAAATAACCAAGACAAATTTTCTTCTCCTCTTTACTGTAAGTTTCCAAATATTAAAACAATTTTAATCAGCAAGATGTAAGAAAATTATTCCTGGGAAGTTACTTAACAAACACAGTTATAAAAAAAAATTTATTATTAAGAAATATAAAGTAATTAAAAATAAATAAATATTGTAATAGTATAGATTTGTCTTTTCTACTTACATTTGGGAGAAGTGTATTTAAAAGTAAACCAGACAGTTAAAAAAACATTTTGATGTGATACATTTGTCTGTGAAAGTTTCTAAATATAGAATTGGCTCAAAAAGAACTGCCAAAAAATAATCTTGTCAAAGCAGACTCTTTGTGATTACTTTTTCAAATTTGAAAAATATACACATTTTGTATTTATTCTTCAATCAAAAGCATAGCTTCCACATAAATTTAAAAAGCATTTTGAGGATATATAAGAATATGGGTCATCGAATAATTTGAGATATGAACAAAAATTTCAACTAGAAGGAATGAAAATTTTGAAGTCAGAAGATGAGAAAACCTGAAAATTTTGCCCTGAAGGTAAAAAATAAAGTTCCAGAAGGAAAAGCTATTTTTGATTGTCACCTGTGCATGAGCTGGGCTGTTTCTCACAGAAGAAGCAAACTGAAAAAAAAACTGAATCAAGTGAAACCTGGGAATAGAACTATGTTCTAAAGAAGAAAAATTTGTTAAAAGTCCCAGTGATGCAAGTGGATTTGCCAAAGCTCCCTTCTGTTTTTTTTGTCTTTCTATTAGGTGGTTGCAAGGTCTTTTTCATTATTTGAAGATTGTATTGTATATCTTTTTAAGAGCCTATAATTCTTATTTTAATCTGTTATCTGGCCTTTACTAAAAAGGTGCATAAAAGGACATTTTTGTTCAAGCCTATTTTGTAAATATTGCATTTTGTTTCTTATGTCTATATAATGTTTTTTCCTTTTAAATTTCACTTAGTAGTTTTAAGTCCTGTTTGTTTTTGTATGTGCCTTTTTCTATAATCAGGATAAGAGAAATGATGTTCTCTCTTCTCACATTCCCTCCCAAGAAAAAAAATCTTTTACAGTTTGTTTTTTTAATCATTTCACCCCAAGCAAGGCAATAAAGCCACCAGGACACAAGAGGTTACTGAGTGTTAGAGAATATGAGAAAAACTATTATTATGGAGAGAGGACAATAAAAGAATAAGAATTAACTAGACTAAAAGATAATGATTAATAATGCATTTAAATTTTTGAAGATCAAAGTTGATTGGGAAGCAAAAAGTCAGAAGAGAGTTCTACAAATGCAATAGAAGAAACTGTTAGCAAAGAATTTACAGTTACATCTAGCCATTTCAACTGTAAAATGATAAAACCTTACATGAGTTTCTTACATCTATTAAATTGATCATTACCTACTTTTCGCACCATATGCCAGTTTTTGATATAATTTTCCTTGTATTTATCAGAAAATCATGATCTTGACTTCTATTCATATACTTTTTTTAAAAACTGATTCCATTTGTTGACACTGCAAAAGAAGTCTAAGTAGGTTAAATGTAATTTATTTTTAATTATAAATTGTTTTAATCTTCCTCTTAAGAACAAATAATATTAATACAGTTCCATAATTGAACTGAAAATCATTCAGGGAACTTGAAAACTACAAATACTCCCCTGGGTCTATTGTGCAAACCCACTCTGTATTTTACATTTGTATGGGTTGGTAAAAATTTCATTGAACTGTTAATCTGTTAAGAAATGATATTGTGATTTTATCTAAATAAAATGAAATGTTATTAGAGCAAGATTCTTTTATTTATTTTTTCTTTTTACTTCTTTTGTATAAGGATGATGATATAGAAACAGGTGGTGTATTGATGAGGAAGAAAAATACAGATTAAGAATTCAGAGTAGCACCATTTTAATAGTAGTTCAAAAAGAAGAATGATATTGCACATCTGTGTGCTAGTAAAAAAAAAAAAAATTGTAAAAAGTAAAAGTTTGCGAAAGACAATATCCAATGTAGAATTGTTGGATATATTGGGACAATATTCCACTCATGTTTTGGCTTGTGGAAGAGAAAGTGAGTTGCATTGAAATTCGATTAAACTCAGAAGCAGTTTTTGATACTTCTACAAAATAATGAGTCAAACCAAAGGTTAATATATGGAATAGATAAAAGAATGCTAGGCATGAGAAAAGTAGGAAACATATTTTCAAATAGACTACCATATATTTTATTTATTTCTAAAATTAAATGTCAATTTTAATATGACAAATGATTTTTAGCTTATTTAGGGCCAATACTTCTTTTATGTAAAAATCTAATTTTTCATTTTTAATGTTAGAATATCAGATTATATATAGTGTGTGTATATGCATTGGTAAATGCCTAGTAAGTCCCATATAAGTCCATATTTTGTTGAAAAACTGTTGCCTTAAATTTTTCTATATTCTTGAATAGTGAAACAAATACCATAAGTTTATTGAAATAAATAAAATATTCAGATAAACTACATTAAGCATAAAGTACCTATAAAACACAAATGTATTCTTTTTGTCTTACACATATGCATTCATCTGTCATATTTTCCTTTTGATTGTTTCTCTGATTTCATCAATTATGTTTCTTTTTTCTTTTTTAGGTGAATTCAGAATTTTATACGGGATGGCTTGATAATTGGGGATTAAAGCATCACACTGTGAATGCAGTGCAATTTGCCACTAGCCTTGACTTAATCCTTAAATTAGGGGCTAATGTCAATATGTAAGTTGCTATACACCTACTTTCCCATGTATTTCACTTAAATGAATGTGAAACAAATTTTTAGTTTTAGTCTTATTTCTTGTTGAATTAGTGCAGTTAAAAATTCTACAATTTACAAATGTGTGAGAAAAAAATCTATGAAGTAATAACTTGAAACAAAAAAGAAGTGAATTATTTTAAAATATTTTCTGCACAAATGTGCATATCATGAATATCATTATTTTAAATTTTGGTTTGCTTTTTTGTTTCTTTGGTACTGTATTTTAATGAACAGATTTTGCTCCTAATTCATAACATTAATATTTTAAGACTGTTAGACAGTGACTCCATTAAAAATCATTATTTTTTTCAACCTGATTGATTGAGTTGTGTCTGTGAAATTACATTTCTTTCAATATTTATGGATTTAATATAAGTTAGATTTACAATTGTCTTAAATGAACTTTTAAACATTCACCAATCAGTTGCAGTGATTCTTTTTTTCTAGGTACATGTTTGAAGGAGGATCAAACTTTGGATTTTGGAATGGTAAATTTTGTATTCGTTTGTCTTTCTAATTGATATTTCTATGCTTCATAATCTTCATTCTTTTTCCTCTTTTTGTTTTCTTTACACTGGCAGATTTTATTATGCAAATCAATGTTTTCACAATAAAAATGGTATTGATCCTGTAATACTGGTAAATTTTTTACGATCTATTTAATACAAATATATGATAAATATGTTGATTTAATCTGATATAACTTCACCAGGCAAATAAATTTTTATATATCCCAGTGGAAAATTCATAAGTTTATATAGAAATCAAAAGCTAGAACCCATTTCACCTGCAGGTGGAACAGGTGAACTTATTAAAGCACAAGTTTACATTAGCTGGAGGCTATCAGTTCAATACTTTTGATGGATAGTAAGTATACATTTGAGCTATTTAACAACTTAACAAAATATACCATATGAATTTCAGCTTATAACAACTGTTTTTTTTTTTTTTTAGAAATGTTTTCTTAAAAATATTTTCAATAATTTATTTAGAGATGTGAAATTTTATTAGGTCACTAAAGGATTTTTCATTATATTGTAAATAAATATGTATATAATATTGGTATTTTTTAATTTAAAATGTAAAAATCATGTCATGGGTTGAATGAAAGATATGAGCTGAAAAGAAAAACATGATACTGCAAAGTTATTGATGGGAATGCAACATTGGAAATTATAAAAAAGAAATTAAAAACATGGACAATATAAGAACAAGAAAAAGAAATTGAATTTTAGATTGTTACAAAAAGACATTTGACAAAAAATGAAATGTATGATAAGAGATTTATAAGTAGATTGACCAGCAAAAAAAAGAAGTTGGTGTCATGAATCAGAGAGAAAAGATACAAAATACTAATGACTATATACATGCAAGAGAATGAACCTTAAAAGCTGACTATTGCCCACTTCTACCAAAACAATTTTTCTAAGAAACCATGTTATCCCAGTAAAAAGTTTGTTGTTCATTATTGAGAGATTAGTAAAGCAGAATGAAAAACAATATTCAAGCAAATATCTCTGTGAACTAATGGTTAACAAAATCAATAGATAAAATCCTGATGAAGAATGTCATGGTGCTCATATGTAAAATAAGAATTTATTCACATATATGTGTGTTGATTTTTGAGACATTATAGCTGCCTTTGTTGGCAAACAAAAATTATGAAATGGACGACTCACATTGCTACTTGGAGTCTTGGCTTAACACAAGACTAGAAGTACAAATACATTGAATTACTGATTTACCTGATCTCTGCTTCATAGTTGCTTTTCACTTATGTGTATATATATATATATATATATATATATACAAATTTGTATATGCACATCTGATAGCATACACTTTAACAATGGTGTTTATCAAATTTGTTTCTGCAGCCTATATCGCATAAATAAAATTTTATGCTACACTTAAATTGTATGCCTAATAAAACTTGATACCCACCAAACCCAAAACAAGTTATCTCTGTTTCCAATAAGGATAGTTATTATTAGATGAAATGTATATTTACCATCAGTTGTCTTGCATGAATTTTATTGGAAAAACCTTGATTTGTATAATAAAATCTGACATTTTCTTCTCATTCTCTTTTTCTTCACTATTCTTAAGCCTTCCTTTCTTCTACCTTTTTCTTCATTGTTTCTGTTTATTTTTCTCCTCTTCCTTCTGCCCTTCTTCATTTCTGTTATGACTTGTGATCAAAACCTATTTTAAATTATATCTGTAAGTTGTTACAAAAGCTTCATGGAGAAAATTTGTTTTTCTCTTTACAACCCTCAGGCATTTAAAGCAAATTTTAGGATGTTTGTACTAGATTACACTCTTTATTAATTAAAAAAAGATTAACCATTTAGAAAAATAATTCTTAATGATATGATTCTTAAGCATTTTTCATAGTTTTCTTTAGTTTTCTAATGTTATAGAAAACATATAATGAGTTATGATTAACAGTACAAAGAAAGTGTAATGTGAGAATCAACATCAGAATTAAATTTATTACTTTGAAGGTAATCTATTATTCTATGAAGTACAAAAGCTTAAAATCTGAATAAAAATTAATTAAAAAGTGAATGTTTTAAAAATGAACCAAAAAGAAATATATTTTAAGATTATATATTTTAAATGGAATGAATATATCTATATTTTCTTATGTTTTCTGTCAGGTGCAAACTATCCACCATTTCATCCAAATCCAACCAGTTATGATTATGATGCTCCTCTCACAGAAGCAGGAGATCTTACAGAAAAATACTACCTAATCCAAAAAGTGATTTCCAAGGTAATATGAGATCAGAATAAAATTGGATTTATTCTTCAAGAAATGTCATTATCATATAGAAAAGTGATTTTCTTTTAGAAGATAATTATATGTACTGCTTATATTTCAAAATACTTCTATGTTCAAATAATTACAATATGTCATCATATTGTCACAGAAATTTGTTCACTATTTTTTTAAAACTAACTAGGTAATGTTAATTTAAATAAAATAAAATCAGTAGTCAGTAATGTTATGTGAAATAGAAAAAAAATAATTCTATGTTAATTATAACATGATATATAAAGTACTTGCTTTATAATTTGACCACTGATATAAATTACATTTTTTCGAACATGAACAGGCATTTAATTTTAGAATTTTTTCTCTCAGATTTTATCCTGATGATTTAAACTACAATGATTTATAATTTCTTATCTGAGGAATATGCAGTTTTTCTTTATTAAGTGTTGACAATATTATTTTCATTTTTTTAAATTATTATTTTAAAGAAAGTTTACATATATTTCTATGACTTATTGTTATTCTTGCTATAAACCTTTTATGACCTGATAATTTGATATTTTTGCTTGAAGAGATTCAAACTTATTTGCTTTTAGTCTTGTGCCATTCCAACATTTTAAGATCAAGGTATCATGTGAATTTCATTTTAGTACCACCATCTGCCTAAAAAGTCAGTGTCAGCCTCACTGCCCAAAGGTTCTTATGGTGGAGCATTTCTTAAAAAGGTAATTTCTTTTTAAAAATTATCTTTTGATTTTGGTGAAACGAATAAATTACATAATCCTCAAAAAGTCAGACATGTAAAAATTTATATAAATACCATTTTGAATTTGTTTTAAACATTTTCTTTTCAAGTCTTTTTATAATTTATCAATGTTTAAGAAATTGAAGAAGTAGTTTTATCTATTATCTGAAAGAATTCTTGTAGTTAAGCTGAAAGGAAAGCCTTTCAATGTATCTATCATAATAGTGTATGCACCAACAACACAAAGTAAGGAAGAAGAAATCCAATCTTTCTACTCCATGCTAGACAATGTCAAGGCTCATTGCAAATCATAAGAAGTCATAATTCTCATGGGAGACCTGAATGTCAAAGTGGGCAGGGAGAGGGCAGGGGAGATAGCTGGCAACTTCAGAGTAGGAACCTGCAACAAAAATGCAGAAAATGTATCCAATGATGTACAGCCATTGACCAAATAATAGCCAACAGGTGGTTCCAGGAACATTCAAGATGATAATGGACATAGAGAAACCCAGGAAAAGAAACTAAAAACCAAATTGACTGCATAACTATTAACAAAAGATTCAGGAATGCAATGGTTCACTACAAAACCTGCCCAAGTGCCGACTGCATATATAAACTAAGAGTCAAACTGCGGAAACTGAAGAAGCCTAATGCAGCACCCAAATTGCTATACAACAAACTCCTGAGTGACCCAGACCTGAAGGAAAAATATATGGACAGTGTGAAAAGAAGAAATGAGGAACAAAATGAAAATAGAAACTCGAAACAGCACATACTAAGAGAAGCTTTAGTAACATCAGCAAACGATATAATCTCAAAGGAGAATGGACAAAGAAAACAAGATCACTGATGAGATTCTTGACATGATGCAAAGGAGAAAGGAAAACTTTGCCAAGATACAGAATGGAATACAGAAAACTACACTACAAAATAAAGGCCAAATGGAGGTAGGCTAAAGAAGAGTGGCTAAACGAAAAATGTGTAGAAATAGAGAGATTGAGTAAACATAGACAAAGGAGATATACATAAACAAATAAGGGAACTAACAGGACAAAAGGGATGCTCATCAACAGGCTGCAAGGACGGAATGCTCATATTAGAGAAGGAAAAAAATTCTTCAGCACTAGAATGAATATATTGGAAAACTCTTCCACGATGAAAGAGAACATCTAGCAATATACAGAAATACCGACAGGCCTGAAATTCTAAAAACCGAAGCTGCACTGGTCAAATTGAACAGAAAGAAGACAGCAGGTCCAGATGGAATTGTAACAGAGATACTGACAGCCTTAAATGATTTTGGCATTGTAGTGAAAGAGATAATCAGGTACCCCGGAAAAAAGTTCGTGTTTTGTGTGCGATCTGCTGAAGAAGGATTACCAAAAAGTAGTCAGCAAAAATCTTATACCGAAGAAAACGGCGACTTACCTCCTCAAACCAAGCGACAGCGCGTCACGTGTATTCTGTGATGAAAAAAAGAAACAAGTCTGTCGCAGGAGTCGCTATAAGAGTATTTTGATATGCAAATTATGGAGCATCCTAGCTGTCGACGAATGAAAAAAATAGGTTCTGCCGATAAAAGCAGTTGGTGTTCTCAATTCGGAGGAGGGAAATTCGGGCATTTTTGGCTTCGGCGTTTGCTGGGAGAGTGAGTTATTTTCCTGACTGGTTACGCGCATTGTGATTCGAGATAGTACCGGCGAATCGAGTTTCCAGCATTTCTTTCTACCCCCGATATTCGAGTCTGTACTTACGGTGATTTTTCTTTGTGTTGTGGAAGTAATCTACGACAAATACTTCCTTTGCTTTCAGAACGCTTACACTTACAGGCTATGATTATGGAAATAATAAATGAAATCTACAACAGTGGGGATATACTGGAGGATCTAAGCAGAACTATTTTCATAGCACTGCATAAGAAACCACCAAACAATGAGCCTAATGAGCCAATATAACAAAATTCATCATCCATATTCTGATGAATAGAGCATGCAGCAGAATCAGGCCAGAGATCGGACAAGAACATTTAACAGAATGCTATCAATACAAATGCAGAAGTACGTGCACCTGTGTTTTATAAACTACACAAAGGTGTTCAACAAAGTTTGCCACAAAGATCTGTTGGAGCTGCTCAGCAACCTTGATATATTTGGGAAATATATTAGAATAATCCAGAATCTGTACTGACAGAAAAAAGCCTGCATATGAATAGAAAATGAATTCAGCAGATATACAAAAATAGAAAGGTGTGTAAGGCAAGGATGTGCCTTCTCACTGGACTTATTCAACTTATACAGCAAGGCAATTCTGAGAGAACTGGAAATCCTACTGGGATTCATCATTGGCATCCACAATCTTAACAACATAAGATATGTAGATGACATGAGGATGATAGCAGTTACAGAAAGGAAAGTACAAAACCTCCTACAGAAGGTAGCAAAGGAGAGCGAGAAGAAGGGATTAAGCATAAACTACAAGAAGACAGAATGCATGGTTATCAGCAAAACGATGACCATGAAATGTGATTTACAGGTTGGGGACAATAATTTCAAGGAGGTGCGGAAATTTAAATATCTGGGAAATGTTCTGACAGAGGATGGAAAGTGTGACACTGAAATCCGAAGACTATTTGGGATGGCCAAAGACGCATTCCAAAAGCTAGTTAGAGTATTACAAGATTGGGTGAGGGAGTGTTGGTAACAAAGAAAAGAGTACTGAACTGCTATATGATATCTGTCCTCCTTTATGGCATCAAATATTGGACAGTCTCCTCAATGATGAAGAAGAGACTCGAGGCAACAGAGGTATTGTCCTACAAAAGAATGCTAATGATACCATGGACCAAGCATGTGAGCAATGATGAGGTTTTGGAGAGGATGAAAACAAAGAGGAAACTTATACTTAACATCAGGAAGAGTTAGTTGAAATTTCTGATACATGTAATGAGAAAGGAGGGCTTGGGAAATCTGATACTCACAGGGCAGATAGAGGGGGAAAAGGATCAAGAGAAAGCAACACGTGACATACTTAATGGGCTTAAGCAAGTAAATGGCAGAACGGTGTCTGGGAGAAATATCAGAAAGGCAAATCTTGTTGATAACTACAAGGGACAGGAAGAAGTAGAAATCCATGGCCGACTACATTTTGAAGGGACATGGCACATAAAAGAAGTTTTATCTAAACATTCTATTTATTTTTGGAACAGGATTGGTGTATGCTACCCCCGACTTTTGTGACCCTCAGTATCTTATCAACATTTGCTTTTTTCTATCTACATTTAGATACGTCACAAATTAAACTAAGCACAACTATTAAAGAAAGAAAAGTTTTTGTGAATTTTGACGTCATTCTGGGGTCTTTTTTTTTCTTTTTCAAAATCTGTGAATTTGTTTTGCTTGTGCTAAGTCTTGAAAAAACACAATATAAAATTCACTATCTTTTAAACATAATTTTGAATGTGTTAAATTATTCAATTTTTAACAAGAAAAATCTCAAGTTGATGTTAAAAATCAATGCAAAACATTGTTGATTTATTTAAGATGGAATGATCTATTATGACATGTTTCTAATTTATATTTAAATGCAGTGTCTTTATTTTCAATTTTTCTATTTGAATTGTTTACCTACATTGCATTATTGTACATAATTAGGTTACAAATAAGGTAGTATTCATATAAAATACAAATTTTATATGAATACTACCTTATGAAAATTGAGATGTAGTAGAAGAGGGGAAGATGGGGCACAAGACCTTTGTACTGACCTTGCTTTGGAATATATAAATGGCTAAATGCTTAAGATTATGACTTAAGTTAATAATAAAACAAGTTTGAGTGCCAGGTCATTGTTGCTCCTAATAAAAAGGAGTGTCTATAGTTGATATGTAATCAGAGAAATCTGTTCTATCTTCTCTGTTGTTTTAGTAACATTTAGTGGTATACATTCATCTGATTTCAAATTAAGACAGAAAGTTTCTTCTTTCCATTAGTCAAATTTGTAACTTAAAATCACTGATAGCCAAATTATAATTTGGTATACATTTTGATGTATTACTTATTATTGTTTACTATTAGTATAAATTATAGTTATTTAATCAATTTAATTAATAAGAAATGAAATCATGGATTTTTTTGTCAGAGGTTTGTAATAAAGAAATTTGCTAAATGAAATAGTCTATACTTGAAATTGTTTTCTGATAGCTGATACCAGTTTGCTATTATTGTTAATGAGTTTGATATAATTTCTAATTCCAAAGAAATCCATACAGTTCCTAGAAATTCTTTTATATGATTTATTCAGAAACATTTTCAAATGTATTCATAACTTTCAGTAAAAAAATGTAAATAACAATTTTTTTTTCATATAGGGTGCCTCAATTTTGGATCTTCTACCTGAATTTCAAAGAACTATTTCTAAATACCCATTCTTTATGGAAGATCTTGGACTGGTACATTGACTTTTATTCTCTGTGATTGAAATTTTTTATTCTATTCAATTTATCTGAATAATTATTGATAATAATTAATGTAATATTTCTCTTTTTTTTTTTCTTTTTGTTATTTACCAATACAAAAATACAAGAACATACAAACAATGATTTGAAACTAATAAAAAATTAATGATTAAAAGGAAAATATTACAAAACTGATGTTTTTAAACATTAAAACAAAAAAACATTTTCTTTGCCACAATTCTGTAAGTGATGTAATACTCTGTCTATAAGATTATATGTCTGTGTGCAGTACATATTTTGTATATTCATGATACTTCATTTTTGTGTTTCAGTTCTTTATATATATATATATATAGTCATAACATATAATTGTATAGAAGTTCATATCATTATTAAAAGTCTATAAACTGTTGAAGTAAAAGTTATTTATTTAACATTTCTTTTATTTGGTTTTATTATGTTTTATCTCTTTTTTTTTTTTCTCCCCACAGTATTTTGGTTTTACTCTCTACAGACATAAGTTGAAAGCCTCAGTTGTTAATGCTTCTTTGGTGGGTAGAGATGTCCGAGACCGTGGTTATGTCTTTGTAGATGGGGTAAGAACCACTTACCATATTCAATATAAAATGTTCTATGTTACAACCTTTACTCAAAGTGGAATTAATACTTGTAAGCTGCTCACAGATATGCCAACAAGGGAAAATAATTCAGAAAATTTGGTATTTGAAAAAAAAAACCTTGGAAATGTAATTACAGCCTGAAAATATACTTAAAATAACTTTTTTGGCATTATATAAAATTGATATGTCATAAAATATTGCTCTAACTATAACAATATGACATCATATAAACTATGATGCAAAATGTAAATTCTTGTTACAATTAAAGAAATGCTTCATTTATTTACTTGCATGTGATACAAATAGTAGGAGGGGATATACCAAGGTAAGGACTACAAAAAATAATAAATAAATGCCTGTCATGAGTATTTAGTGAGAAACCAAAATAACATGATCACCAGCCTAATCAGGTGTTGATCCACCATGTATCTGCAAAACAGCTCTTTCTCTCTCAATCTGATATGAACTCTATAAGACTTTAAAGCTTTATTCTGGCATCTGTTGTTAGGACATCATGGAAGCAACAAAGTGAAGTCTTCATGTTTCAAAGGCATTCTTGTACAACTTGTGCAACGTGGCGGGCAATATTGTTCTGCTGAATTATACCACAGCTATCACATAAGACTGCTGCATGAAGTAGGTGACCTGGTCTTTAGTGATATAGAAGTAGGTAGTAAGCAACAAAATACCTTCCACGTGAGTGACTGAACCAATGTTTCCTAGCATAACATTGCCCAAATCTTCATACTGCCTTTCTTGTAGCACATCAGTACCATCACTTCCCTAGTATAACAAAACACATGTACCTTGCCATCCACCTTATTCTGGAGAAAATGACTTATCAAACCAGGCAACCTTCTTCCATTGATTCAAAGTCTAATTCAGATGCTTATATACCCAGTGAAGATGCTTTCAGCAATGGGAATTGGTTAGTATGCATTCTCTGGTTGTCTTCTCTATGGACAACAGGAAACAATGTATTTTGATACCTTCCTTCACTGTGATTAAATTTATCTGCAATTTAATTTGTGGTTTTCTTGTTAATCTTTAACAGGCCTCCATTCACTTCTTGTATTGATAAGTTTTAGCTAAGCAATTCCTTGTTAGGAATTGTGATTTTTTTCTTTCTTGGACCACTTGCAATAGGTATTCATCACAACTGAAAGTGAGTAACACACAAGCTGTACTGTTTTGGAAATATTCTGACAGTATTCTGCTTATAACAATTTGATCTTCATCAAAGTCATTCAAATTTTTCTTCTTGTCCATAACTAAAACAACAAAATACACCAAAATGAAGTACTTGAGGCTGGCTTACCTGTTTGTATATCTTTGACTGTAATAAGTAAATTTGTTACATGACAGTAGCCATAATACTTGTCATTGGTCATAATTATCAAGTATTATCCTCTGCATAATGTTATCATCATTACAATAGACTCATAATATGGATAAAGGATAAATTTTTCCAAATAGAATTTCTATTTTTCAATAGAAGTTCTGTTACTTTGATTTCTTGATTGACAAGACATGTACACTAAGTGTATCATGCCTGTATATTCTTTCCTGGATTATAAATGGTATTGGAGGTAAATGGGTTTTTTTTTCTTTTTTTTTTTTAGGTTTTGGCATTATTCACCTGATAGTCAGGAATCCAAACCTTTGAGTACCTTCAACCCTATCAGCAGGTGTATAATATCAGGGCTATTGTACTGCCATTTTGTGAATGGGCTTTGGACCTTACAGTAGTCTTTGGTGAGGACCACTCAATGTCATGATGAAGGCTACTGTTATGGTTGTACTATTGGACAATTCAATCTGGGTTGTTGGTACAAGCATCTCCTGTGGGTGTAACCGCCTCAATGTTTAGTCTTCTCCCAAACACACTTATTTCTAAACATGAATGTAACTAGATTTAACAAAAAATCAAACCAAACCTTATGAAAACAAAAATAGACCCCAGGTTTCACCATTTTCTGTACCAATGTTGATGGGTCTACATTCCAGCTTTCCAGAGGTGGAATTCCATCTTTTGCAATGCTACACCTGACCTCCTATCCCCTGTCTGGAACTGGTATTGATACCTCTATCCCAGTGTAGGAACTAGCAATCCCGCGTTACTCACCCCTAATAGCTAAACATAACCATCAAAATCGCAACGGCCATGGACTCGGCATCTATATTAAGGATGGATTTCCATATAGCAGAGACCAAAAACAAGGACCCTGATCTAAAGAATATGTGCTTTGTGTGCAGCACTTTAGAGTAGAACCATTTTCATTCTGAATCGCCCTCAGGATAATGGGGTGCTAATTTTTGACTGAATATCTGAGAAGATTGATAACAGATAACTTTCATGTTTGTGGTGACTTCAGTATTCCCCATAAAGAACATTTAGTCCACTTGAACAAAACTGGTGAAGAAGTCAGATACTGCAGAAACTTCTCTGTTGCTGATGATCAAACTCAGATCATTGAAGAACCCACCCACATTCCTGTTGCAGCAGGACATCAGGTGAATCTCCTTAGCCTCTTTCTCACATCTTACCCTGAAAAATGCTTTGCTGAAGTTTTAAGGTCACTTCAGATCATTCACTAATCAGTGCCAAAGTTGATGCCAAACCAAAGGCATTCCCTGATGTACCATTCCATAGAAAAAAATTTTTGTACATGAAAGCAAACTGGAACAGCTTAACATTTTATATGGTGGAAGCTCTTCTCTCAACCTTGTTCGAACAAAGTTGAGAGAAGAGCCTCCATAGCTGCTGTCCCCATCTTGGAATGGGTCCTTTCTGGAATGGAGAATTTTATACCTGTCATTAATAAACTTCTTGAAGCTATAATCAACAAGGAGGTTGTTAATAACTTCAATAGGGACAACCTCCAACCCTCTTTCTACTTTACATAAATGATCTGCCAAAGAATATACTTCAATCATATGTAAATATCTATGCTGATGATACATTTGTAGATGACCAGAGCTTGGTAGCTAATCTCTCCTCTGACCTAGCTTTAACAAGTCAATGGAGTGGGGTGGTTACATTCAATGCCTCAAAAATTAAACTAGTGATGTTCTATCATCACCAAATGAACCCAGAACTTTCACCAATCACAATGAATGGATGTTCCATTGAGGAGGTCCCATGTCTTGAGTGCCTATTGGGACTAAATCCCAACCCAGACTTCAAATGGAACTTGTACATATGATCCATTGCTAAAACTAGTGGAAGAATGGTCAGTTCTCCATATCACTCCAGTAAGTACCTGACTCCTACTGCTATCTTCTACCTTTACAAGAGCCAGATCAAACCAAAAATGGAGTACTGCTGTCATATATGGATGGAAGCTGCCCAGTTTTGATAAAGTCCTAAAGCGCCTTTGCAACCTTGTCAGTAACAAATTATTTTCCACCCTGCAATCACTTTCTCACAGAAGAAATATTGCAGGTCTCTTGAGCTCTTTTGTTATTTTTATGGAAAATGTTCAGATGAATGGCATGCTTTAGTTTCACCAGTTCTAACCTTCACAGCTAAAGTCTGCCATGCCACGTACATTGCAGTGAACCAACTTCATTCCCTTCATACTTCAATGGTGAGATTTAAGTTCCATTTGAGCTGCTTCTTCTCACAAATTGTTGCTTTGTGGAACTGACTCCTAAAAGGATGCTTTCTTGACCACTACAATTTTAACCTGTTCAAGTCTAGGCTCAAGCATTTCCTTCCCCAAATATTTCCATAAATTGTGCCTCTTATTCTGTAACCCTTTATTCTGAGTGGGTCTTGGGTGAACAAAAAATAGTGGATATATTTTGCAATTTAAAAATACTATTTATTTTTTTATAATCATGAGCTTAAAATAAAGTCATTACTATTTTTTTTTTAGTTTAATTCTTTTTGGACATATTTATCTAAATGTTTTTAATGATCCTACTTAAAGATTGTGAAAGTAGATCTATTTTTGAAAAATTTATCCACAACAAATGCAAAAATATGTTATGGTCACATGATTTTAAATTGAATTAAATTTATCATTGAAACTTGTCATAAAATTAAATTCTTCAACAGTTTCATGTTAATAACTTTGAACAATTTTGCATAGATTATTTGTATTAATATCAAGATTAATTTTTTGTTTTTGATTTTCTGCAGGAGAAAATGGGGGTATTTAAAATGCAAGAGACATATGTTGTGAATATCACAGGCAAAGCAAGACAATACTTAAACATTCTCATTGAAAACCAAGGCCACATAACATTTGGAAATACCATCAATAAAAACTTCAAGGTAAACAGACATTTACAAATAAAATCAATATAAAGAAAAATAACTCTGGAACTTTTCAATTGATGATGCAGATTTTTTTTTTCAAATTGTTTGATTGGGAAACCAACAGTTGTTTTGCGTTTTTTTTATTAAACTAATTCCCATTTCATTGCTTCATAATATCACTTCAACAAAAAGTTCTACTTTTCAGTGTGTCTTGAGAAGCTTTAGGACATTTAAAACTGAATTTCCAAGATTTGAATTTTGAGCCATCTGATTGATGCTGAAGAAATGGTAGTCTAATTTAGTGGGTTGAGTGAGGTACTCTCAGTCTACAGTGGCCTAAGAAAAGTTTTTAGCCAGGAGAAATAAACTAGATTCAATTTCAAAATTTAATTACGTAATCCCTACTCAACATAAATAAACATTATTTGGAATTAGTATAGAGTAGGTCCTCCATTTACTAGTTTCAGTACTTGTATTCGATTTTTCATGGATTTGATCAAGTTATCAACAATTGCCTGATTTCCCTCCAAATCAGACAGTGCCTCACACCATTACTCCAATCCCTCCATGTTTCACAGTCACCTGCAGACATTCAGTGTTCAAGCTTCATTCTGATTTCCCCCAAACATAAATCTGTCTTGAATTCAAATATTGGCAGAATTTACTTTCATCTGACCAAATTACAGACTGTAAAAATTCATAATCTTGCTCTCGAATTCTCTCGCCCAGTCCATACGAAGGTTGCTGTTAACCTATGAAATCAAGGGCTTCTTTCTTGCAACTCTTCTTTGATAGCCTAGCTCTTTCAGAGTCTTTCTCACCGCATATGGCAACATTTCCATGCTGTTGGTGACATCTTTGACAAATGGTTTCTGATGACTTCTCTATTCAGTGCCATTTTCGTTCATTCAGACACGATGCTTAGTCTTCCTGAATGTTGTTTCACACGACAATGTCTTCTTCATTAAATTTCTTGACAATATTGTTAACCCTTTGATGATTAACCTGGAAAAACCTAGCAATTTCACTATTTGACTTGCCTCACTGATGCCATACTATTATTTGCCCTTGTTGAAATTCACAAATTTCCTTACTTCTGCAAACTTTCATTGCAAAATAAAGTCAACTATTGTTCATAGATGAGAGTAGCTTGATACTAACACATTATTGTCTGAAAAAAAAAGAAGATACGTTATTACACAAGCCAAAATTGCTGTATTAAGGGTGGCTAAAAACTTATCATAGCTCACTGTATAAGTTGTATAATGATGTGTACCAAATATACTGTAGAAATGATGCTTATGCACCAAGTCTGGTGATGTATCATTTATAAGCAATATCAGATCATAATCTCAATCATATTATCTAATTATTTAAGTTTCAAAACTGACATTTCTATTCTAGCCTTTACTCTAACATTGAAGATGGAAGAAAATAAGCCACATTTATTCTGAGAAAGGTAAAAATAGGATTATAACATAATCTAAATTTATTAGTTCTAAGTCTTGTGGAATGGAATTTCTTAAAAATTTACAGGATTTTCTAAGTTTACGAAGAAGGTAATGTAAATGAAAAAAAGTTTTGTACTGAAGATTTCTTTCTGAATGATGCTTTATGGCCAGGTAGACCAGTTGAGGCTGACAGCTATTAATTGAAAACATTACAGCTTTGTTATAATCTCTGGCTTCAATGTATGATTGCTGGGTTGTTTTGGTTTTTTAAACACACTGTGACAGATGATGAAAAGTTAATGTTTTACAATGAGTGATGCAAGAGATTGTTGAGAAAGTGAAATCAATCATTATGAACTTCTTTTTTTTGTAAACAGGAAAAAAAATAAACCTCTACTGTTCAAAATACCAGTGAGGAGTTTGAACTGAATAGGTTCACCTATCTACTTGAACAAAAGGCCAGTGTTCATCCAAACAAGGTGATACTGTGTATATAGTGTAATTGGAAGAGGATCCTCTACTATGATCTCTTTCCAAAGAACCAAATGATTGATTCAAACAAATACTACTCCCATTTAACCAACTGAAGGCAGTAATTAATGTAAGCATACAACTATAGACCTCAATCAGTCTTTCACTGATTGAACAGCTTCACCCCAAGATGTGTTTTGATTTCCGGTTGTGTTGATGTGAACAAAACTGGGAAATGCCAAGTTTACATTCAACAAAGGAACAGGTGAAATATCACGACACAACACAAAAAGAAAAAAATCCTGTTCTCAATATATTGGGTTTTTTATTCAGAGTTGCCTGGCACAGTCTTGGTAAATGTCTTCTCTCATAACAGACTAATGGACTAGATATTTCCATTATCCATCAAGAAATCTGTCTGCCTCCAGCTCTATATCTCTCTTAATCTAAACATCTCTATTTTCATTCTGTCTATGACTCTGCATCCCCACCTATGGCTTGTGACTGCAATAGCTTTCTCACTCCCTGCCTGCCCAAGAAGATGGATGACGCCTTACTGGCTGATGCTAGAATTCAACCTAACTATATTGGCTTAGTGTGCTGCAGATATTTAAAGTATATCTTTTCTTATGATACAATTGAAAACAGCATGAAAAGTTATTTTTCATGTTTCAAATTGTCTCATAGCAAGAAAGAGATCATTATCATTTGAATTGCTAATGTTATTTTAATCTTTACCTTTACTCTCCTAAAGTGTTGTTTTTGCAGTGATTGTTTTTTTTGTTTTGAGTAACCAAAAAGTACACTTTCAACTTCAACATTAACAAAAAATGTGTCCACATACATGAAGAAGAGATTGGTATTTCTAATTATTTCATATTATGAATGTATCATCTAAAAGCATGTGTATAAAAAAAATTGAGTGATAATTTTTATTTGTCTATTGTTAAACATTATCATTTTGATTCCTTGAAATTGAAACAAATACATTTTGAAGTTTCCATTGGTTAATGCTCAAGAAAAAAAACCAACAAATTATTGTTTCCTTCTGTTTTATATTCACAAAAATATGTTTTGTTTTTGCAGGGAATTCTTTTGAACTTGACGATTGATAAGAAGAATCTGACAGATTGGGAGATGTATCCATTTTATAATCTGCAAAGTCCCGATCTCGCATTACAAACTTCTTTTTTAAAAAAGTAAAAATCCTGTTTTGTGTTTTCTTTTTGTTATTAGAATCAATGGAAATTAGTGCACTTTTGCAATTTAAGAAAAGAATGCAAATATATTTAATAATAGTTTAATAACAGAAAAAGTAATTGTATTTTACAATTGCATTTATAAATAATAGCTTGTCCATTTACAAATTTATGCACACTTAACAAAAAATAATTACATGAAAAACAATGATTTTTGTAAAAAATATTTGTCTTGCTGTTCTTCCTTGTGTCATTCTATTTAATACACATTTTGTAAAACTCTTCTTGTGAAAAAAAAATAGAGTTTTTAGTGGCTACATACAGATTGATTAAAAGTTTGACTGATCTCCATATTTTTTTTTACTGTTATTGAATAGTATAGTTTTCTGAATAAACTGGGTAGAAAGGTAACAAAAAGGTTTTTTAATAAAATAAATCCATGAGTAGTAAGGTAACATATAAAATAAATAAGATTGATCCATGAGTACTAAGGTAATATATAACAGTGGGGTGTTTTGGGAGAGTGAAAGAAGCATTTTCCATGTTGTAGATGCATATATATTAAGGAATAAGCATATTAATTTGCTAAATCTGATCTCCATTTTTCCATGAAAAAGTCAGGTGGCTTATACTACAAAAACTATATATTGTGTGTGTGTGCATATATATATATATGTAATTTGCAGACAGTACTATTTCGCTATATCACAGCTCTTCAGTGCAACTAGACAGCCATATGCCTCAAGCCCGGATCGAAACCCAACCGATTTGGTGTCAGTCAGAGCTTCTGCGACTGAGCCATCTTCACACAGTATATATATATATTTTTTTTTCCAAGTCTCTGGTGATAGGGAAGTGGTCCAAAATGCTGGTATGATGTTGGACATGATCCATCATTCTGATGAGCACTATGAATTTCTTAGATCATCCATAGTGTCTGAGGACCTGCCACATACATGGCTGGTGTTCAAACATTGTCAAACAGTTTTTTTTCAAGATTGTAGAAAATCATTCCCAGGACTTTTTGCCGTTCTCTGCACTTTTCCTGGATGTCACATGGAGAAAATCATGTCAATGGTTTTTCTGTTGGCTCTGAAACCACATTGACTTTCAGGATGGATTTTCCCTGACAAGGTCAGGAGGCGATTGAAAAGAATCCTGGTAATGTAATGGACAGGAGAGAGATTCCACAGTAGTTTCCACAAGTGCTTCTATCTCTTTTCTTGATAATGGTGATATTTGTATCCTTCAGATCTAATGGAACTCCCTCCTTTTTCCATATCTGTAGTAGGAGGAAGAAGATTTATCTTTGGAGAGGTAATTCATCATGCTTGATCAGTTTCAGAGGGGAATGTTATCAAGCCAAGGCTCTAGAGGATCAAATAGACAAGTGCAGCTTCAAAATCATGATAGGTAGAGTTGGCAGACATTCAATGTCACAACAGGTGCTGTGGGGCATGTCTGAGTATGTCTGATATTGCAGTGAAGTGATAAATCCTGATATATATTTTCATTTTTTATTTCTGCTATCTGTTTCTAAAATGAACAAACTTTTCAGTATTTGTGTTTGTTTATTTATGTACTATTTTGTAATTTGTCTTGCTTTTTAGTGTTTTTGTTTACCTAATGTTTTATATATATATATATATATATATATATATATATATATATTTTTCTTTTTTTTAAATCGGAATCACCCTAAGCAAGGCAGTAATGTTACTAAGATACAAGGGGTTACAGGGTGTGGAAGAATTAAGAAGAGAAACATTAATGATGAGCAGAAAGAGAAGAGAGCAATTAGGTGGACAGTAGATAGGATTGTATTTAAATTTTTGCACATTAAAATTAGCTGGAAAGCATGGAGCTAGAATGGAGTTCTACAAGCAAGAAGTGCAAGAGAAGAAACTGTTAGCATAGAACTTATGGCTACATCTAGCTGGCTCAACTGTAAAATGGTGAGATTTTGATGCTATTGCACTTAAATTCATAAAGTGAAGAGCTCATTTGAACAATTACCATGAAAGTATTTATAGAAAATACATAGAAAGGCAATCTTATGGCTGTGGGAAAGTGACTGGAGCTGAGCTATTCATTTTTTGTGCTTCTAAAACACATAATGTATATAATGTGTATATAAACAGCATTATTTATTGTAAAAAAACAGCATTATTTATTGTGTTTCTTGGACTGGTTAAAAATATCACAAAAATGACAAAATTTTAAAATATTTTCTCCCAGTGTTCCAAATTAATCTACATTATGGGATATACATCTACATAATGTATGTAAAGTTAATGAAAAGTGGTACCACCATAACTTGACATCACTAAAAAATCCAGGCATATATTGATTATTCTCTAGCATCTGATTAATCAGAATGAACCCTGGCTTGGCTGTTCATGACAAGGCAACAAGAATTATCAATTTGAACAGAGGATGATAGTGGGTACCAGATAGATGAGACATTTCATTTCTAAAACTGTTGGACCATTAGACATACCTTTGATCTACAGTGTCAGGTGTGCAGTGGGAATAGCTGATTGATGACATTATCATCCATCATGGACTGTGAATTTGCTAACTATAGGTCCTTAATGATTAAAGGCATCCAAATAGAACTATCTGCAGTAACAGACAAGCAACACTAGTTCAAATCCTATCCATATTCAATACAGGAGGTACCAGACACATGTACAGCAGGTCAGCTTCCATGAAGACTCTCCTGAAAGCCTCTATCAACATCATGACACAGAACACAGCACCTCAACTGGCTCGTGATATCACTAATTGGACCCTGGCAGACTAGCAACATGAGACATGATTCATAGTTCCAGTTGTTTCAGAAACAAAATAAAATCCTTACTTGCTATTTTTTTTCAGCTTTTACAAATTAATACTATTTCTATCATTTGTGCCCTTCAAAATGGATCTAACAATGATAATGTTCAAAAATCCAGATCTATTAGATCATTTTTAAGTAGAATCTTTTAGAGGGTAGGTTTGCAAACTTTTATTTGCTTCTATTAGTTTTAATTATGTTTAAAAAAACACGTCTCCATTACTATTCCCTTTTGTGTCTTTCAGAGCCATGACTATCTCATCACAATTCAGCTCCTTGAAACTTCCATCTTTTTATTATGGTTTCTTCAATTTGTCTCCTGATGAAGACAAAATTTATGACACATTTATTGACATGAAAGACTGGACAAAGGTAAGTTCATGATTTTTTTAAAATTGATCTTTTTTCTCTTCATAGACTCACATATATATTAATTCTACAAAACTTACTAACCAATCTAAAGAGGCTGAACATATTTTTATTAAATATTATTTTTAGATATTATTTGTTACCACAATAAGATTTCTGGTGGTTATTATACATTAAATAATTACAGTTCTTTTTAAGTTTCATATTCACTGAAGCTATTTCAGAATTGTGATCAAAGAAATGAGAAGGTTTCTATATTGAAACACACTTTGTGAATTGACAAAAGTACTTATCTATAAGGAAGAAATTGTAACCAATAGTTGGCATTCTGATGCAACAACCATGATACGTCCCTCATTCTAAAATGAAACAAAATCAGAGGGAAAGAGTAAATTTGTTATTCTACAGGAAGATAGCATGGTAGAGCATGTTATGACACTTCTTGCCTGATCCGGTCAGTTCATGTTACTAGGTGACATTGACGAGAGAATAGAAGAAACAATGGCCAAGTTATCTTGAGAAAAAGTAACTTGGACTTATAGAAATAGATAATGATGGAATAGTCAAACTAGTTAAGACAAGTTTCTCATTTTTTCTTTAGTCAAAGTGAGGTAGAAGTAAACCTTTTGACATCAGAATAGTTGGGATAAGATGATATCTACACATAAATAAATGAGATATTGTTATTTGCCTGCTCATCTAAGCTAGCAAGTTAATTTTATCTGATTTTTTAACATGGTCTAGTAGAGAAAAAAACATTGGTAAATTTAGTCTAGTTTTTTTTAATGTTGTAAGTTTACATTGTGGGTCAGGTATTACAAGCTTAAGAGATAAATCAGTATCATAAGGAAGAAGTGGAAGTTAGCAGTTCTGAAATTCCCTAAGGACACAAATGGCAAATAGAGAAATGAGAACACAATTCTGTAGATCAATTAAAATTAAAATGTTCCATTCAACCTTCCTGAAAAGCTACCAAATGCAAAAGACCTGAGCAAGGTTGAAAGGTACAGGAGCTGAAAGCTTTTTGACAAAGATAAAATAAAAATAATAATAATGAGGAAACAGATCTAAAAGAATGTAAATAAGTTATGAGAGATGTCCACTTCAATAATGTATAATCGGTTATTTTAGATATCCTTGTTCATTAGTCATTAGCATTTATACAAGTAAATATGCATATGCTTGAAAATTACAAATAAAGATTTTTTTTTCTTTAGATACCACAGATTTCCTGGAGAATATAAAAAGTGATGCCATTAACAATTACTCCAAAATTATCCCTCAACAAATTTATGGAAAAAACTAAGAGGAAAAAAGTTGGATTGACTAAATACCATATTAGAATGAGGGAATGTTTGCAACTTATTTGTAGTTGAAGCCATTTTATGCATAGCTATAAAGTTTCCTGCTGTATTGCAATCTTGGGATGGAAAATACATTATGGAAGTTGGAGAATGTGTTAAAATTGATAGATATGTTTGGCTATGAGTTTTGAAACATGATCACCTTGTAAGGGATGGCAACTATCAAAATACCAAACTCCTGTCATGTTTTTATGCAATATTCTAATAATATTGGATCAGTTATTCAAGTAGCAGTAGTAGACATTTGGAGCTTTTGTAAATCTAAATGATGGATCTGAATATTCTGAAGCCTTTGAATATTTGCCTTCATCCTATGTCTTCTCTCTAGACACACACTGTAATTGTATGTACATGACCTATCCTATTTTCTTCATTAATGTTTGCAAATTGTGTACTGCTGCTTTCTTTTGCACATGGGCTTACATTAAAATTGTTGGGTCCCTCTTAAATAAGATGTCATAAAATGGGGGAAAATGTGACAAGAAAACCTGGTATGGCTCTTTAAGGGACAAAAGCCACAATGATAAGAAATTTAGCTATTAGGCCCATTCAGAAAGCTGAATAGTTGATAATTTAGAATCACTTTTTCTTTGCTCAGGAAGCAGTTTACTAACATACATTTTTCAAAGTGAACATTGTACATGAATCTTAATCTTTTAAAGCTAATCATATTCAATATTTATGCAATCAAGAATTAAATTGTGTCACTTTTTTATAGGGTCAAGTCTTCATCAATTACCATAATGTGGGCCGTTACTGGCCCAAAAAAGGACCTCAGGTACGTCTCTATGTGCCACGGACAGTTTTGAAGCCAGGGCTGAACACTGTCATCTTATTTGAATTGGAAGAAGCTCCCTGCTGCTCTTCTTGTCCCTGTCTGGCCCGTTTTATGGATCAACCTCTTATAAATGGTACTGTAACTAAAAAGTAATCATAACCAGTTTCTGCTTAACTATATCAATAAAAGGTGCCTTCTCTCTTCATTTGCTCTTGCTATTTTTATATGGACAGCTGTGTATTGGCAAATTCTCAGTATCAATGCAAATAATGTGGATTTGATAATAAAAATGATTTTTATTACTTTTATGGAAATAATTATATTTTTGTATGTTTCTTCTGTAAATGTCTAATTGTATAATAAAAAAATTATTTTATGAAGCCTTTGAATTAAATCAATAGTATTATGTGCAGAGTGAGCCGTAATTCACTTAAAGCACTGTTTGTCATTGTTCAAATGTATACAGATTTTGAAAGTGTAATGGGGGTATATTTAGTCAAGTTCTGTAGTTTATAAGAATTTTCAATGTCTTTTTTTTTTTTTTTACTTTGTTGATTCATTTTAAAACTGGACAAATTCCTTTCAATGCCTTTACAAATGTGTGTGTGTGTATATATATATATATATATATATCACTAGAATTTTGTATTTTCTTGTTCATTTTATCAAAACCACATTCAAAATTTCAATGTATTTGATTTCCAAATATTTTCCATTACAAGATGCTGATTTGAAGCTCTCAAGTTCTTTTCTCTGTTTTTCTGACTGACAAAGGTTTAGACTGTGAAGTTAATCATTATTCTGTGCAGTTGTAAAGTTCATTTGGAAAAAAATAGTGTTTAAGAAAATAGCATAATTTTTATTTTTTGGAATCTCAAAACAACAAAATATTTTTGTTATTTTTCCCCTACTGTTGACTTGTGTTCATTTGCAGATATAAACTTTTTGAAGCTTGGTTCATGCAGTTGAGGCTTTCAAGGGTTTCTTTTTAGCAGCAACAAAACTCCTTTTAATAAAAGTCCCTTCAGTGCTGTGTCCTTTTTTCAAGGTCCTCATGTGGGCTGAACTTTGCTTGCTGGGTGCTGAAACCCATTCACTGCTCTCCTGAAGAAAAATATGATTCATTCAACTAAATCAAAATTAATGAAACTTTATTAATATAAAGTTCTACAAAAGAAATGTACAACTGAATAATTATAAAAATTGAATGAGAAGCTTTTGACAAAAATATTAGCCTTTTTGCTGAAACATTACAGCTCAATTTTCAACTTCTATCACATTATCAAGGTAAAACATGGGTGTTTAAAATAAACAGTTATGCTCAAACAAAAATATCGTATTCTTGGTTCTATTTCATGTAATTTTAAATTAAAATTTAGTTTGTTAAAATTTAATTTGCACTTAATTTTGCTTTGTTCAGAAAACAAGTCCAAGCATGAAAACCAGAAATAAGCAATTAATAGAGCAATTATAAAATTGAAACATGAGATTACTCATGATTCAATAAGGAAAATAATGTGGACATTTTTACTCAGTAGAGAATGTTGGAGTTTGGATGAAAAAAAATTACTGAAAATCGGGCAATAATATTCTTGTTTAGAAAAAAAATGGATATTTATCATTTGACAGTAAAAAGAATAGGCTGTGTGTGAAATGTGTTTTAATTCACTCAAGTATGCTTGAAGCCAACTAAGTTTACCAATGTCTTACATTGACATGTTGAGTAAAAAAAAGATGAATGAATAGTTTGCTACTTTTATAAACAAATTAAGGGAAGAAAAAAATAACAGATTATTTTGAAAAGGAAAATGATATTCATCTTTTTCTTCCAAAGTCAGAACAATAATAATTATCAAATTTTTCTTATCCTTTTTTCATGAATTTTGAAGTAACAATAAAAATATAAAAAATCCTATGTCTTTTGTTAAATTAACTTTTAACAATGAACATAAAAACTGATTAGCAAAATTATTTTAAAATGTTTGTATATATGACAAGAATAAGGTAATTTTGTTCGATTGAATGTCATTTCTACATGACCCTGAACCATTCTTTTTCTAGTCTACAATTAATTTTGCTTAATTATTAAAAATAGCTGTGCATTATGAAATTTCCCTTCACTATATGACATTTTCCTCTGATTTTTATATCTAACACAAATACACATCCAAGAAATCTTAAAACTCTCTCATTAAATACATTATTGATAAATTCTAATGACTTTTTAATGAAGAGTTAAATTTGACTAGAAAACTTTCTAACCATTAAAAAATTTACAAGGCACAAAGAGAAACAATTCCATAAAAGAATTACTTTTCCATTTGTTTTAGTATCTGTAACTCATTTTTACTACAATATAAAATATTTAAAACCTGTCCACTTTTTGTAAACAATTTCATAGGTGAGAACCATAAAAGTAAAGACATTTAAGTTTTTGTTTACAACTACTTCAAAAACCAGTTATCCTGCTCAATTTCTGTCCTTTTTTTTTGTACAATAAATAAATAGAATTTCTCACAGGGCCTTCAAATCCAAATGAAGCTTTTATCTATTTCCTAATTCTAATCTATAACTCTAAAGATGATTTGAATCAAATTTTTTTCAATCCCACCTTGGAATATTTTGTAAGGCATGAAAACCACATAAAGAACATACATTCATATTCTCCCCTAATATTTATCAGTAGCTTCCCTATACCTTTTCTATAAATACTTTCATGGTAATTGTTCTGGTACCTTTTGTGAGGAGAGTTTTTTCCAACGTCTTACGACCAGTGGTTAACGCCAGACGTATTGCGATTATTTGTGAACTGTTTTGATTTCAACTTCTATTCACGTTAAGTTCCTTTTAATTTTCAATTTTCTTCCGTTCATATTATTGACTTTTTTGCTAAAAGTTTGATTTTTTTCTTTCTTTACCCTCCCCTCAATTTTATTTCTTGTTGTTTCTTATTTTTATTAATTTTCATTTTCTTTTATAATTATTTTTTGATTATATTTTTCCTTTTAATTTTCAGTAACTTCCCCCCATAAACCTTTATTTTTCGTTGTTTATTTATTCCACATCAGATTTTATTTTTCTTTATTTCGTTTACATATTATTTCTACATGTTTCATTGTTCTTTGTCGTTCTTTGTTTAAATATCTGTTAAATATTCTGTGTTCCTTTGTTTAAAACTTTTGTGTGTTTATTCTAACTTTTCGTATTCATTTTTCTATTCATTATTACTTCTTTATTTTAGTTTACGTGTTTTGTTTGTTTTTGGGCTGATTAGAATTTTCTAGTGGCAGCCATATTGTTTTTGTGAATTTGTTTGGTATATTTTGTTTCATATTTACTGTTGTATTATTGTAAAAAAAAAAAAAAAAGATTCTTAATTTGTGAGTCTTCGGTCACGTACTCATTTTCTGTGATTTGTAATTGTTTATATTTTTACCATTCATTGTCTTTTTTCATACGTATTCTTTTTAAGTAACCCATTTTTGCGTGCTTAACTGTTTTTGTTTTGTCTCGTAAAAATTTTGTTATTGTGATTTATACATATTTATCTTGTTTAATTATATATTTTGTTTTTGTGAAAAGAAATTAAAAAAGATTCTTGTCTTAAAAGAAAAAATATGGGTGCTAAAGGAACAGCTAGAAAAAACCTGTTTGGCACTAAAAAAAAAAAAACAAAAATGATCCTCCTGATAAAATTTCCGAGAAGGAATTAGAAATGGATGCAGAAGAGACCCAAAAATTAGAGGTAGATCCAAATTCTTCTCACAATTTAGATAAAGACAAAAGTCCAGGAAAGAGTATGGTGGCTGCAAATGGCTAAAATTCGGTAACAGAAACCACTTCACAAGACGAAAGTATGGCAGCCGAAAGTGGCCAAAATTCAACAAAACAGACCCCCCCCCAAGAATAATGACGTGGTTTGAGAGACACCTTCATGCTGGAAGTCCCCGCCAAAAAATCAACATATCGGAGTTCCTGGAGAAAGCCAAGAGCTACGCACATCTGGTTACAGCAGATGGGCTCTTGTCCAATCCCGAGGAACTAAGAAAGGTTGAAAAAAAGAATTGTGTCGGTCTTTGTGGTGGACAAGCGCTCGCGCAAAATTTGTCGCTCCACAAAAGACACTGTAATTAAGGCCTTGAGTCATCAAAGGAAAAGGCTATTTTATGTGGGATGTATTGTTGCCCATGCCTGCCGATTGTGAAGCACTTATAACAAAAGGACCTAATTCTGCACACGGAATATGAAGGCAGGTGGAAATCCAATGTTGCAGTATATGAGGTTCCTCCTCAGATTGTCGGGGAGCATTTGGCCGCCTATCAGTGCTTCCTCGGACGATCTGACCGGGGGGCGAATTTCAAGTGGATGATTGATAGAATTCCTTCATCTCCATCCCCAACTGTCTGGAGGTAGAGGACCAGAAAATGCCGATAATTGTAACTGGGCGTAACTGGCATGCTGGAAGTGTGGACAGACTGGTCACCTGTCCTATTCCTGCACAGAGAAGAAGGCCTCTGAAGTTCTGGCCCTGACTCAACCAACCAAATCCCCCTTTGGTCGCGTCTGCACAATCCGTCTCACCTGTAATGGGCATGCCAGCGATTGGGGACCAGTGTGGAAAAACCCCAGGTTGGGTCCAAATCTCAGCCCCCATTCCCTGAAAAGCCTTTGCCCACCGCTTGTGCAGGTGTGGAGAAGGAGAAGGGGGAATGGCAGGTCGTTGGCAGGGCAAAAAGGAAGACCCAGGCAGCGGGACCTCGTTCCACAACCAAAACAGGGAAAGACACAATCAGTCCCACTCCATCTACTAGCGCGAAGAGCAATTCTCCGGCCAGCAATCTTCGGCAACACCAACTGAGATTTGAACCCAGTTTTGAGAAGAAAGAAAAATTACAAAAACTAAAAGACACTATCAGAAAAACGTCAACAAAAAGAATCTGGCTCTTCCTCAGTTCCTTCATTTCCATCTTACAAACAAAAACTTATGATACCACCTCCCTTGACAAAATCTGCATCTCCTTCCCCTTTCAAAATGACTACTCTTCAGAAGTCACCCAGTCCCAAAAATTATCCTAAATCTTCTGTCCAAACCCCCATTAGCTCCCCACAAAAATCGGAAAAACGCCAAAGAAGTCCATCCACTGATACCATTGATTCTGTGTGCAAAAAAAAAGCCCCCAAATTCAATACAGGGAAAAAAGTTTGCACTCTCACAAAAGAACATGAAAAGAAATTTGCTTCCCAGTGCAAAAACTTTAAAGAACTGAAGCATTTGATTAAATTTTGCAAAATTAATAACCTTGATGTGGAGGACCCCAGCAACTTTCCTAACGCAAAAAGGATAATAATAAGGACTGGGGCCCCTGGAAAGCATGTATGGGCAATGATGAAAGAGGCGAGCCAAGTGTTTGGCATGGTGCCTCCAATTGCTTTTTTTGATAATGATAATGTAAAGAAACTAAATCAATTTTGTTCAGGGATGCTCCAGCTTTTCGTTCACCCCTTCCTGTAAAGAGCGCTTAAATTAACTTTTCCCCTGACATTGGCGGCTTGTCTCCTGATGGCGCCATCAGGATTGAGATGGGCACTGGTTTTATGGGAAAGGCCATTGATGTCTTAACCCTAACCATGTTCAATGCAGGAGAGCAACCCTAATCGGTTTCATCATGTCTCTCTGGTTAGCAAGTGTGAATGCCCGAGGCCTGAGGGCGGAGTCTCGCAGAGCGAAGCTCCCTCGTGACCTTCAGCATCTCAGGGTCAATATATGTTGTGTACAAGAGACCCGTTTTTCTTCTCGCGACTATGAGGGCATTCTGTCTAGGGGGTTTTCCCTCTATTCAGCATGTTTTGATGGACACTCAAGGGGTGTTTCTTGGCTGGTAAGCAAGTCTTTGAAGGCTGCGTGTGTTCTTGTTTTCGCGGATCCAGCAGGCAGGCTTTGTGTGCTGGATGATAAGGCTCTTCGTCTCATTGGGGTTTATGCACCCAATGTCCATTCTGAGTGGCCTGCTTTGTTTTGGCAGATTGAACTGTTTTTGACATCACGTTAGGTAGTCTTAGTGGGTGATTGGAATGCTGTCCTTGACCCCGATATAGATCGTATA